GTAAAACTTAGTTATTGTTGTATGCCGAACGTAGGGACTATTATAAACGGACTGAATAAGAAAAAAACTAGGAATGATCTACGTAGCAATCCTCCTACTTGTAATTGTAGAAACAAAAACATCTGTCCATTACAGGGAAAATGCCAGCAAGAATGCGTGGTGTATCAAGTGAAGATCTACAAAAATAGTGAGGATACTAACCCTAAAATATACATAGGTGCTACTCAAGATAAATTTAAGAAAAGATATTATAACCATACGAGTAGTTTTAAGAATGCAAAAATTAAACATAGTACCACGCTATCTACCTACGTATGGAAAACCAAACAAGATAATATAGACCCCATCCTTAAATGGGAAATATTAAAAAAATGCCAAAAATATAAAGCAGGCCATAAATTTTGCAAATTATGTGCTGAGGAGAAATTAGCCATAGCTTTATATGATCGCCCTAACCAACTATTGAACTCTAAAACTGAAATTCTCAATGTATGTAGACATAAAAAATCATGGCTACTAAATTAGACATTTTTCCCGTTAATGACTTTTCACTGAGGTTTTTTTTTTTTTTTTTTGTTGTTGAATAAATATTTAACCCCCCCCACTTAGGTTGTTGTGTTTTTTTTTTTTTTTTTTTTTTTGTCACGTGATTTTACCTATAAATGTGTGTTTCCCTTTGCCTTGTTAGCCAACCTTTCCCTGACGATCCGTTTAGGTGAAACCTAGGTAGGTTTGTCTGGCTCACTAGGTGTATATATATATATATATATATATATATATATATATATAAAAATCCTTTCAGTGTGCTTGTAGATAATTTGGTGGGGCTCATTTCCTCTCCACATCCTTGACCAACAGCCGAAACCACTAATATGATGCGGATCACCTTCGGTCTGTGCACTTGGTCGTTGAATCTATTGCCCAGCCGCTGTCCGCTTATGTAGATCACCCACCTAGCAGTGCAGTGCAAACACCACCCTTTACGTGATTTATCCCGCCTGCTGAAGCTGTTTATAAGGTCTGGCGCGTCGAGCCAACACGTCAGAGATTTAGGAGATGGTTGAAGACCAGTGCTACCCGTCCACATTGATAATAATTGCAGCAGCCGAGCAACAACGCTACTACTACTTCTGCCCACTGCCCCCCCCTACAGACATAAAAACATATATATATATATATATATATATATATAGATATAGATATAGATATAGATATTACATTGGATACCGGAGTAAACAGTTCATCAAATGTGCCACTATATATACTTTTAAAATAATAATAATAATAATAATAATAATAATATAAAATTATTATCAAATTTATGAGAATATTTTATTATTATTATTATTGTTGTTGTTGTTTTAAAAATACTTGAAAGATAAAATATTTGAATTATAAAACAAATTGACTACTAGTAGACAAAACAAAATAACGTTATAACTGGAAACGCTTTTGAAACAAATTTGTAAGTACGTTACTTTACAATTAAATAAATAAGAAAATGTAAAAGAATAAAATTCATACCAAATGTTATTAAAAGAATCTTTGAATATAAATAATAAGAGATAAAGAAATCGGCGGTTATGAGCCAATAGTCAAAGATAAACAAAATAAACATTACAACTCTAAATGCTTTCCTCGAATTTCGAAAATTACGATCACTTTCGTAAAAAAACAAACAAAAAACAGAGAAATGCTACGCTTAAATATAAATAGATTAGAATTATTCATGCCACTATATAATTAATTTAACAAATAAAATGCATTAAATGTTCTTAATATTATATAACTCTTAGCTATATATTCTTAATAAATTACACTTGCTATTTAAGTATTTGAAAATAATAAAATAAATTGTTGTATATCACGACTTAAAAATAAACAAATAACAGCTTATAAAAATGTATGTTAAATACTGTAAATGCATAATAACGTAACAAACATTATAATATGATATAATAAACAAAGAAAAATATAACAATAATGGATAATTAAAAACAAGACTTTCCTTTAAAATACGACACTGCAATGAGAAAACACACGTCCTCCGCTTACTCCGACATCAGCATTATATATATATGGAACATGGAACATATTTTTTAGATGGACACTTAGGTCAGCACCGAGCGACGAACATGCTTGAACACGATCTTCAGTCCACACACATACACACACTTACACACACACATACACACACTGACACAACACACGAGCACACACACATATACACACACACACACACAATATATATATATATATATATATATATATATATATATATATATATACTGTAATACTGAAATGAATATGTATATATATATTGTAATACTGAAATTTGAAAAGTCAAATGTAAATAAAGATTTGTGAGTGCTGTCATTTTTTTCAGATCTAATTCTTAATGCAGATTTTATCATTTACCAGTAAAGAGATATAATGAGATTTTATTTTATTTTCCTAAAACTACAGAGAAAACATTCAAACTTCATATGTACTGTGTATTTTATTATTAGAATTTACCCTACAGGCAATAACAGACTTTATTTTATTCTGTTTCTGTTAAATTCTCATTGACATATTTTATCACTCGTTTTCTTCATTACAATAAGATCTTTTTTAATTGGAATTATTTTGAACGTCTTTTCAAATAACTTAAATAATTTTCAGCTCGATAAACATTAACTATCCGCTTCTTTATGATGAAATTGATAAGTGACTTCTGCTTTTTTCCATTCATATTTCATTCCAAAATGTTCACATGTACTACAGTATCACACTTGTTGATAACATTAACCAACGCTTATCCATATTTGTCTTTTTATCAGCCATGTATGCAAAAATGCTGAAACTGGCGGAGACGTATCGAAATCATGGAATGTTCGTTTTGCAAATGGGTATGGGACCTACATTAATTATTTTTCGGGCTGAATATATACAAGTAAGTAATTTACACCTAATCTTATACAAACACACACACAAACACGCACACACACACATACACATATATATATATATATATAATATATGAGACAATTAGTTCATATATGTTTCTTACAAAATGTAGGTATAGTAGGTGATGAAAAAAATCGAATACACCAATAATAATAATAATAATAATTAATGTTAATAATAATGATAATAACAGCAATAATAATTAATGTTAATAATAATAATAATTAATGTTAATAATTAATGTCTTTATGACAAATTTAGAAGAAAAAACTACTTGAAGTTTATGGCCTTGCTGTGATTTTCAAATCACAACACGGCAATAAACCAGATCTTTGGCTGCGATTTGTTTATGATATTTTCTTCATCTGGAAAGGTACACAGTTACCCAAAATAACGATGTAACTATCCACTGGGACATGCCAATTCAAGCTGACAGGGAAATAAAAGCTACCTGATATTATCATAAAAGACAAAAAATTCAGTGTATGCTTATTGACATAACAGTACCATATGAGAGAAACAGCGCCATGAAAATTATCGAGAAATTGTCCAAATACAAGGACCTGGAGATCGAGATTAACAGCATGTGGTGAATGAAGACAGGCTGTACCAATAGTAATCAGATCTCTGAGCCTTGTTAGAAAAGGAATGCACAATTTTATTAACAGTGCCCCAGGTAACATCAGTATATAAGTTGGTCATAAGATCACCCTACTAGGAACATCTCAAATACTTAGAAAAGTGATATCAGTTAAATGACAATTCTCCTATAGGGCCTAAGAACCATAGTTTTGACCTGGCTCTACAGGATACAAAGCAGGAAACATAACATACACAAATAATAATAATAATAATAATAATAATATTTTCCTATTTTGTCTATTGACCTAATTATCGTATTAGGCCAACAGACAAAATAGGAAAATGATGCGACAAATGTTAAAAATCGAAACTGTGAATCTTGTAATTAAAAAAAAGGGAATGAATTTTATGATTAGAATTTTTAGAGGTAAAATACGCACCTTCACAAACATGGTTCCTAAGGTGAATTCTAAATGTAAAGAACTTTCTTGAATATAACACTACCGGATATATATTCTTTGACAGAAATCTTTATATTATGTTTGGAGAGATTTTTTGTCACGAAAACAAATGTACGGATAGGCAACATGATAGGTCCTGATCTGGCATCTAGTTTACAGTCGCTTTCTCACAGACGTGCCATGGATTCCTTCTGTCTTTTCTATAAGTATTTTCACGGCAATTGTTCCGATGAGTTGCTTTCGCTGGTTCCCAGACTGCATGAATTTGAGCGAGCTACTAGGTTGGCATCTCGGTCCCGCCCTTTCACTGTCGATCGGTTAAATGTAACCGTCTCTCCTACTCAAACAGCTTTTTCTCTTGCACTTCCCGTCTGTGGAATTGTCTTCCTCTTACTTGGTTCCCTGATAATTATAATCTTCAAATATTCAAGTGTAATGTCAATCGACATCTTCTGATACCTTGATCTTGTTCCCCGTCCTTCTTTTTATCCTCTCCCCAAACATGCCTCTTTACTCTTGTTCTCTATCCTCTGTAACCCTTTGCGTGCCAGTGGAACCCTTTGCGTGCTTTAGGTGAAATGCTAAAAAAAAAAAATAAAAAGGTTCGAGACATAACCAATGAGAACATTATGGAATTTGCCAAAATTCCAAAAGTGCTATGTGTTTTTCTCTCATACATTGAATTTCAGGGAAAATTGTTCAATACAATTAATAATGGAAATTATTTGTATTTCGAATTATGAGTGTTTAATTTAATCTTACTCTATTCTTCATAAATAAAACCAACAAAAATAATAGATACTATCAGTAAACAATGATTCCATTGCAGAAAATTCTCGGCAGTAGCAAACATTTGGACAAAAGTAGAGCTTATGAATTTGTGCATCCATGGCTGCGGTTTGGACTTCTCACAAGGTAAACAATACAAATAATATATTTATATAAAACTCTATAAGAAATAAAACCTTTTATGATTATTTATCTTGGTGAGATATTATATTATTACAGAATCAAGACGAGATCATATCTATCTGTCTATCTATCTATCTATCTATCTATCTATCTATCTATCTATCTATCTATCTATCTGATTGTCTGACTCGTACACAAGATGAATTTAAAATAATACTAGCTTTTTATCAATATCTTCTTTATGAAATGCTTACCAATAATAATACATTCCACATAGGACAGCTGCGGAAGCTTTGGGTAGAATCTCCCTATAATGCAACCTCTATAAAACAAACAAGAACAATGACCTTTCCAAATAGCAAAACATTATATCACTTGGTTATGTTATAACAAGGTTTATTAATGACAGATCTACAGAAACAATTGAACCACCAATATTCAGGGGTTTATAGACAGCTTAATCTCAACGGTCTTGTAGCGGTGGGAAGAGAAAATATCATCTTATAAAGGAAAGAGGCAGATTTTTCACATCACTTCCGGTCTTCGTGAGGCCGTTAAACTCTTTACTCAACAAACTGCCAACTCGAAATTTACAGCACGTAATTATGGTGTTCTTTTTGGGTTGATGTCTCTGTCAATATCTATGTTAGTCATTTAACATCAACATAAACTTCAAAACTCAGAACCAAACGATGAGGAAGAAAGAATGTTCTCACCTGAACATTCATAGCATTACATTCGTTCTACTTTGAATAATATTGTTGTTGTTAATATGTCATTTTAGAAGTGAGTGTATTTATATTCTCGCTGTGTGGATGCATATGTAGAGATAGAGATAGAGATACAGAGTGAGAGAGAGAGAGAGGGGGGAGCGAGAAACAGAAACAGACGAAATATCGAAAAACTTTAAAGTATTTTTACATGTAAAATAATTTTTATATTACTTAATTTAAACAGAAACCTTTTCGTGTTTTCAATATTATTAATAATAATGTTTGTGTTTTATGCTACTGTCTTTTTAGTACAGGTAAAAAATGGGAAAAACGGAGAAAGATGCTGACACCTTCCTTTCATTATAACATTCTGAATGATTTTATCGTCATCTTTAATAAACAAGCATTAATCATGTGTGAGAAACTAGAAAAACATATTGGACAAGGAGAGTTTAATATCTCTCCGTATATCACGCTTTGTACTTTGGATATCATTTGTGGTAAGACATTCATTTTCTTATCTATCAAATCTGTGGAAAGAATGCGATTTTCGTAAATAGATTTTGATATAACGTTTTTACTTTAGAACAAATTTAAAAATTTAGTTGGTTTGAATAATGTTTTTTTTTAATGTAGAACCTTTAAAATAAATAATGAATAATAAAGGTGATGTCTGTTAATAAATTCAGTAAATTTATACTGTTCGTCTCAGGGTTGAATGGCTAAATATAATGATAAAAACACTTTCTTTCAATTACTTCACAATTTAATAGAATAATTTGAAGTTTTGATTTCTGACAAATTACCGTTGACTACATTTAACGTAGAAATAATTCTGAATTGCAAGCCTTTGAGGAATTAACAAAAGTCCTTTACAATATTATACATGTGAAATGTTCTGAGCAATACATATTCGGGTTTATCGTTGATTTTCCGAAAGTGCAGAGAGAAATAATAATAAAAACAATAGAAAGAAACTTATTTTCATCGTCACAGAATTTTTTAAATTTTATAAATAGATTTAAACAATTATTTTCTGTGTTCTTTACAGAAACAGCCATGGGTAAACACCTAAATACACAGAATGACTCCAGTTCTCAGTATTTAAAAGCTTTACATCAGTAAGTTCCAGTTATGACAGCACTAAAATCGCCAAGGAAAATGAAAAGAAAGACTAAGTAACGATTTACGCCCCTTTATCTCACAAAGAGAATGATTAAAATTAAATCTTAACATTCAATAATTATGGAAACTTTTATAGAAAATGATAGTTTCAATCATTACGTCCTGAATTTTGATAGATTTTCGGGAAAAAATTCTTGTAGAGTATTGTAATAAAAGCTGTGTATATAACTCAATTATTAATTGAAAACAAAGCAATCAGGATAAACGCGCCCAACTTATTTTTATTTCACTTTAATCATTAAATTTTATTATTTTAATTTTTATTTCACTTTAATCATTTAACAAATTATGTTTTCATCAAATACATTCTGACATCATTGCATACATTTATCAAAATAAGCAAAGTATTACTGACCCTTAATTTTATAAAATTTGAACTCATTAAACAATTTTCTCGATGTCATAAGGATTGGTCCCTTGATGACGCTAAGTTGGTTCGCAAGTGAAATAATTTTTATTCACTTTTAATTATGGTCGTTTCATCATTTAGATTTATAGTGTAGCAAGTTTACGAAAAATCATTTTGAAGAATACTTTGTGGTTTAATATACACATTTTTCAATATAATGTAGAAAGGATTTTTAAGGATTTCCTTTTAATTTTAGAGATAAACAAATAAAGAAATGTAGGATATTTGGTTGGGACTGAAATTGGGAATTAATATAGAAAAGGTTTGCATAGAAAGAAAAGGGGAATAAAAAGAAATAACAGTTTTAATTCTACTTCTTTTGGTTTATATTCACATTTTATGTTCCAGTATTTGTGAGATCACAATGAAGCGCCAAAAATCGCCATGGATGTGGCCAAATTTACTTTTTTACCTTTTTGGAGAGAGTCGTAAATTCAACAAGTGCCTTAAGATCCTTCAGGGTTTTACAAAAGATGTAAGTATTGAACAAATATATTAGATATGTTTTTGTAAGAATATTAATTGTGCAGTCCCTGTAGGCACGCTCTCGATTTTTGCATAAGGGTTTTGATACTAAGAATTCAATACCCACTGTATGATGACGAATGTTTCATTAAACAATCATACATAACTATGCATCTCTTTACACTATTTACATTGCTTGGACTCATGTCCTCATCGTTATTGTCATATTCACGACGTTTCGGCCGTTTTAGGCTCTTTATCCATTGGGCTATGTGTTGGTTGAAGTAATCCAGGTGACTTAACTCAAAGAGTTGTGAGTTCAATGCCTGGCCACAACAGAGGTGAACAAAAAATTGGAGAGTGAAGTTACTAAAGGGAAATAACTGAAATTGAGATATCCAGAAAAGGCATGGCACGTGGAACTAGAACAATCTACTTAAGTGGCTGAAATAAAGAGTTCGATACGAAATACCAACGTGTATCACCTAAAGAAGGCCAGAGCATACAACGGCCGAAACATCGTGAATATGGCAGTAGAGAGGAAGACAACAGTGCGAACAATGTAAATAATTTAATTGATTACAATACTTCATCTCAGAAATATAGACACTATGCATCTGTGTTTTAAGCAAACTATTTACGAAACCAACATTTCTTTGTTGCAAGCAATCCTTCAATTATTAACAGAAATTTCTGGTGTTACATGGGATTAAACATCGAAGAGGTAACATTAACTCTAGCCCAATGTTCATATGCGCACAAACTCATCTGATTTTTCGTCAAAATTCACACAATGTAAAAAAACCTCACAGATAAAATTGTGATCTTATTCTATTATTACGATTATGTTAGACAACACATAAACCCGTTGGGTTTCTTTTAAAAGAAGTTCATGATACAAAATGATGACATAATATTATTATCAATTTTATTATTAATTTTACAAGTATTTTAATTTGTATTTGCAATACAAGTTATTACAATAATTACACTAAGAAAATTTCAATTTTTTTGTCGTTGGTCAGTAAGTGTTATTTCATAAAAAGCGAAAGAAATGACTATTATTCTCTTCAAACTTTGCTATTGTGACTTGGACATCGATGTTTTGGAATTAGCCTATATTCCATTACATTTCCGACAGATTCAGTGCTGAGTTGTTGAATGAGAATTTTCGAGAAGTAATGGGATGTAAAATTTCCCTCAAAGTCCTTGATGCTCATCTTGAATTCAAGGGGAACACCAGGGAGTATTCAGAAGAGCAAGGCGAGTCCTTCCACCAGGATATACTGGACTTTAAACGCCGCTAACAAGGATTGTATAACGAAAATATGATGGCAGACTATATTTAGGGGACTGATTTGTGAAAGTAATTTACAGTATAAGCGTATATAAATTCTGAATTTGTTGTGGCCTCTCTTGTGTAATCCTAGAATAAATAAATGCTACTTTTGAATTATATGTTTTTGTTCCTACTTTGCATGAACGAAAATGTTCACATTCGTCAGTTTTCCCAATGGAAATAAGTAAATTTCAGAAATATTCTTCTGGTCAGAAAAGCAAAGTTTGAAGGAAATATTAGCCATTTTTCATAATTTCTAGACGTAAGCCAATAGGAAATAGCAGTTGCTACGCAAAGACAAAAGTCGTTTTACACTGTTATTATTACTCACATTATACAATATTAATTAGATCAAACGCAATAATAAATTAATAAAAGGAACACTTTTCAGAATTTGTGAAAAGATTCGATGCGTTAAGTGATTTTCTTTGTGAAATTCAGCTGAAAATTCAAGGATAGACATTAAATTATCAAACAACTGACTTCCAGAACAAACAATAAATGGACAATAACAATGATATAGAAGGTCTATCATTGTCCCAGCATTATAAACTAGCTTTAATTTGAAACATCCCTTTAATGCAAGCATTGTCATGCAGGTAAGTTTTTTTTTTAAATTGGAATTGCTAAAGGCCTTTCCAGTCAAGTAATAGTAGCACAAGGGTGACAATTTACACCAATTTTAGTATTTACTTTATTTAAATTTTCGAAGGTCATTGAAAGAAACAAAACAAACAGTAATCGAACAATGTAGAACGGCTGCAATTTTAGCTCTGTCCGAAAAAATCGTAGAAGTAAAAATAAAAGCTAAAGAAGTACGGAAGACCAAATTCAATACTTGCATAATGAACAATGAAAGTATCTGTCTATATTTACATTATTTAGACTATTGTCGTCATCTTTGTCGCCATGCTTATCACAACGTTTCGTGGTTGGAATTATTTCGCTCACTGGGGTAAACTGTTCTTGTTCCACGTGCCATGTTTAATGGATGTCAGTTATCAGTTATCTCCTGTTAATTCCCCTCTCCAAGTTCTCCACTACCATAACCGGTTATTTAACTCACACTCTTTGGGTCCTGTCACTGGATCTAACCAACGCCTTTATTCACTGTGCCATGTGTCCTCAAGGACGTGTGTAACATGTCACGTGGAACTAGAACAGTGAGCGAAATAAAGGGTTCAGTTCGACATTCCAATTACCTGAAGAAGGCCGGAGCGTACAACGGCCGAAATGCTGTGATAAACATGGCGACAAAGTTGAGGACAATAGTCTGAATAATATAAATAGTGTAAATGAAAGTAATTCAGTCGTTTGTCTTTTATTAAAATGCGGAGACATGGCACAACAGCAGTAAGCATGGTGTGGTTGTTGGACATGATTTAAATCAAGAGTTTGTTATTTATATTTAAAACTAAATTTTCATTTAAACTTATATAACCAGCAGTTTAAGAATATATTTTATTCTATACGCTTTTATTCAACTTAGTATAATGAATAATCTTATTTTTCGTACTGACTGAACGGTGGATATTGAAGCGTATCCATCAACGCGAAATATCAGAATTATTTTCTTTTTGTTCATCCATACCAAAAATAATCTAACAGTTGCTAAACGGAAAAATTGTTGGGGTATTATGTATCGTTTAAGCTGTATCTCTGGAACAGATATACATACAAGATTTAGAATTTTAGTATTACAGAGATTTACTTTGTAAATGAAATTATAAACAGCTTCCAGGAATTTTCTAAGCTGACAAAACATTCCACTGTGAATGATTATGTCACTTATCAGAGATTTAGTTTATGCTTAAACAATCTCATTAAATAACATTTGATCAAAAACAAGCAGAAAGGAAATGATAATTGTTATTCAATTCTCTCATTATGTGTTTTATTCCTTTAGGTTATTGAAAACCGCCAAAAAGAATATAATGAAAACGAGGCAAAGATGATAGAAGAAGTAGACAATGTCGATGAATCAAATATTAATATGAAGAAAAAAAGACGCGTGTTTTTGGACATATTACTTTACAACTGGCATCGAGGTGAATTGACGACAGAAGATATCCAGGAAGAAGTTGATACATTCCTGTTTGAGGTAAAATTCAGAGAGGAATTTAAAATATTAACTGAATTTGCCCAGAAATTTCATCGATCGATTTTCCTTGGAATGTGTAAGATTTAAAGTTTTGAGCTAAAATTCGATTTTAATATAATTTCCTTTCTTACAAAGTAAATAAGTATTAGCTTTAGAAGTACAAGATTTAATGTTTATCAACATATATTTTTTGATTGTAAAAGCACCGAATGAATAAATATTAATCCTTGATACAAATCAATATGACAGTGTTGTGAAAAACATTTTTCTTCTTAAATAGATTTTGATAAAATGATATTAAAATAACAATGAAAAGTATTTATTCACATTTGTAAAGCAAAATAAAATCCTTTTTGACTCCTTATGGTTTAGACAAGTATAATGAAGAAATTCAATAATTGTTCATTGAACAATTGTTGTTTAAATTAAAGTAATTCAGTGTTTTGTCTTTTATTAAAACGCAGGGACATGACACAGTATCAGTTGGCATGATGTGGGCGCTTTACATGATTGTTTCTCATCCTGAAGTCTACAAAAAAGTTAACAAGGAAATCGATGATGTCTTTGGTAAACAATTTTGATGAATCAGAAAATTTTGTTTTTAGAAAATTCTTTATCAGTTGATATTATCTTCTGATATGCAAGAATCAGTAGTTATGTAAATTCATGACTTTTGAAAATATTTAGTAAATTAAAATGGCTCTTTAACACTAGTGCAACTGCTACTACGACTACAACGATTACTACAGATGTTTTTCTATATTTTCATTATTTCTATAGTTAGAAGTTTTTATCAATTTATCATGAAATCATAACTTTAATAATAATCAAAACTTTAGGAAGATTGCGTTGGGCAACCTTATAGGAGAGTTCGTCTAACCTTATTCAACATTAGGTGTTTCTATTTTCATTTCTGCTTCTACTTAAATTACAACCAAAGAAAGCTGATGTCACTATCAAGCTTCACTCATAAAACGACTGAAATCGTTCTGATCTCTCAAGTTGTTAATAGTTTGTTTAATCTTGTTACTCATTTACCAAACACGAAATTATTACAAATAAACTTTGTGGAACTTTTAGAACGGCTAATAATGAGAACAATACCCGAAGATTATTTTACAGCTTTTTGTCTGATTAAACGTTTCAATTAAAAGAAACAAATTTTGACAATTAAAATATATTTCTTTCGAAGGCGAGTCCCGAAGGCCAGCCACTTCCGAAGATCTGAAGAAATTATATTATTTAGAGATGGCTTTGAAGGTAATAGTACTTGTTTTATGTTTAGCATTTTTCTACAAGAAAGATATTCCTTAGCAATTTGTAGCCACTTGTAAAATACTACGGCATTTAGTGGCTGGTATGCTGGTGAGAGTCACTGTTGTAAATATGTTTCTTTCTAGGCTTAGTAGAAAGCATAAAGCTCAATTTAATTTTGTATATAATCTAAATTCCAGAAGCAGTTTTTAAACGAATAATAAAATGCGTTCATATATATAGGTTATATTCAGTGTGTAATGTAAAAAAAAAAAAAAAGCAGAGAGCATAGGGAGTTGTTGCCTTTACATAACAGATGGGTATTGAACATTTCTCGCTCTGCCCTACTTCCCAAATGCCTTAACAACAAATTTATCTTTGAAGGGTTTCTTCATCTGGCCGAAAACTTTTCAGCACTGACTTTCTTTCTTTCTTTCTTTCTTTCTTTCTTTCTTTCTTTCTTTCTTTCTTTCTTTCTTTCTAACCCAAACGGAATCTAATAGGGAAAAGACTTTGAATAAATTCAAAAGCAAGTCTAAGTTACAAATTGCAAGATAACCATTATTTAACACTTTTTTTTAATGATGCACTAGAAAAGAAAAGTCCATTGTATATGTAAAACAGTCTCGTAGTAATTTCACTTATATGAAAACGATCAATCCAGTAATAACAATTACGAAGGCAGTAGATCATCGAACTAGAGTAGGAAGTATTTTTGGTGCAGTATCTAACTAATGGTATGTTAACTATACCAGTACTGGAGTCCCTATCTATCTATCTATCTATCTATCTATCTATCTATCTATCTATCTCTATCTATCTCTCTCTCTCTCTCTCTCTATATATATATATATATATATATATATATATATATATATATATATATATATATATATATATGATAAAAAATATAGTTTTAAGGTATACTATATTTATGGATTAAAGTACTCAACATCAGAGACAGAGAGTATATAAATATAAAAGTGAACATTGAAGTTAACACCTCGAGGCAACAGTATGCTTCATACTAAATGCAATTGTCTGTCCATATATACGTTCCAAAATTATATAACTGCTAATAAATAAATAAAATGAAAAAAAAAACATCTTTCAGTATAAACTGCATTTATTTCATCTTGGAATTTACATGAATGGAAAAATTACGCCCTGAGGATGAAAATGGGAAATATTCGACCTAGTAACATCAAATGTATCTGACAACAATTTAAACATAATGATCACGTTATTCAATGAATTATTAGTAAGTTATTGTCGTTAGTTTTGTTAGCGAAGAGATTAACATTGCTTTTCATATTTACCTCTTTATGATATCTATCTATCTATCTATCTATCTATCTATCTATCTATCTGTTGTGGTGTCCTCCCTCTAAGAGTCTATGTTAGTGAACAATGAACAATAATAAATGGAGCGCTGGTTCATACGATACACACTCACTAGTTGAGTCATACTCTTCTGATGTACTTACTATTTAATATACGATATATCTGCAAACCTGTTTTTTGTTATTACTGTTATAGACAAGCGTATGTTTGCAAGAAAGAAATACGACAACAATAGAAATAGATTTGCGTGGTTTATTTCAACAAGAACGTAAGGGTTTAGGACAGCTACCTTGGTGTTCATAAGCCGGATTTCGGATCTAGGTCGATCTCTCATAGTAGTTCACACATGTTGACGGTGGTTGACGCTCTCCTGCTGACAGCTGCTAAGCGTGACCGGTCTCCCTTGTGGCCACCTGTTGACTGCCGCTGAACTTCCCTATGACCCCTTTTATAGCGTTTTTTTATGGCTTAACAGGCTCGAGAAACGAAGCGAGTATAATTAGGAGGGAAGCATTTTTATTGGACGAAAAATAGAGCACTTTAATTATTATTTTATTTTTCGACCGGAACACGTGTGTCGGAAACATTTGTAAATAAAGTTAATGGTCATTTTGTGACGGGGCTTTGTCCCGTTCACATCCGGTTCTCGCTCTTGAGTATTTGCCTGTAAATCAGCCGAGATATGTCATTTTATTTTACAACATTACTTAACCATTTACTTGGTCACAACATATATATATATATATATATATATATATATATATATATATATATATATATATATATATATATATTATATATATATATATATTCAAAAACAAAAAAAGTTTTGGGAAAACAAACAAAAGCATGCGAGGTGACTATAAGAAATCTTATTAAAAAGAAAAAACTAATAACAAACAAGAGAGAGATATAGAGATATAGAGAGAGTAGGCTATAAATTAATACTTGTTCATCTTTAAATACAACGGAATTAATAGCATTAAAATACAAAGCAAATAAAACTCTCAGGATTCTATATCCAATATATTATTTCATTCTGACATAAACAACTGAGTTGTCACTGCAAGGATTGTCACTAAGATTACTCTATTTACTCTTTCACTCAACGCGAAATTAATGAAAGGAACATTCGTCAGTTTTTAAGCATTTTACCCTTCTTGTTAGAGAAAGAAATATTATTTCGGGCTAAATTTTTTTCGGTAAGATGGAGATTAGCTTTTTGAGAACAATATAAATAATATATAAGTCCGGAGCGAAATGGAAAACAGCTTTCAAAATTTAAACCGAGGGTATGTGTGTTGGTGATTTCTGAGTGCTTCTTTCATGTGCACAAACAGATCAAATTAGGAGAGTTTCAGATCAGGACTCTCTGGTTGATGATATAATGTTGTCAAGTCATGTGCTCGTGTTCAAACTTTAATCTACTGTGAAGGCTCGCATCCTCTTTTTTATAAACATACCCGTCATCTTCAAATCTGGCCTCGCTCTGGTCTTTACATATATGCTCATGTAGATGTCAGAATTCAAACCATATGACTCTTCTACTACCAAAACAGTGTAATCATCACGTTACCTGCCAAGCGAGATGGCATAAATTTCTTTCTGGGCGAATCAGGGAGACGCCACAGGGAGACGCCTTTCTTTATAGATCATAGTGATGAACTCTGATTTCATTTCACGCGACTACGCTGCTTAGTGTAGAAGTTTTTACACAGCAACATACTAATTCTAATTCACTAAACCAATCAGCATTCCACGTCACCAATTTTTCAATAAACTTTGTGCAGATAAGAAGAGACTGCGCTAAACTACAAGTATAACCAAAGCTCAATTGAAGTCTTTCATGGAGTTTTGCAATTAACCATTCAAGTTAACCTGGCATAAGCAGCTGTCCTATCACTGCGGGGATTGTCACTAAAATGTCTCCTTTCAGTCTCAGGTCAGCATTAATATTTTTGTCTTAAATACTTTCTCATGCGTACATCAAGTTCAGACTTTCCATAAACATTCACTACCTTCATATTAGAGCTTCTAACACATTCTAATACACAATGCAAATATTCTATGGAAACACTTTGCTTTCTACGTATATCGAGAGGTTAGCCATTTCAATAGTAGATTATGGGCAGGATAACTAAGTGTAAATTTTCATTTTCCAAAGACCTCTCTCTCTCTCTCCCTCTCTCTCTCCCCCTCTCTCTCTCTCTCACACACACACACATATATATATATATATATATATATATGACAAAAATATTGCATATGGTTGTACTATATTCATGGGTAAAATTCCTCAATATCAGAGATAGAGCATCTGTATATTTAGAAATATAAATGAAGACACTAAGGTGAATATCGAGCGGTGACAGTATGTTTAATGCCTGAAGATTTTGTTCAAGTATGAAACAGACTGTCGCGGTTTGATGCTTACCTCAATATCTACTTTTATATTTTCTATCTATCTCCTCTCTCTCTCTCTCTCTCTATATATATATATATATATATATATATATATATATATATATATATATTTTATGCTTTGGAAGTAAAGTCTGATGATCCAGAGCCCTTTAAAAAGGCTGTGGTGAAATAATTTATTACATGGAATCTTAAAGTGGTCTGTTTTTATTCAAATATATATATATACATATATATATATATATATATATATATATATATATATATATATGGCTTAGTGAATAAGAATTGGGATGTTGCTGTGTAAGAACTTCTACACTAAGCAGGATAGTCGCTTGATATATATATATATATATATATATATATATATATATATATATGTCAAAAACTTTAAAAAGTAAATTAGAATAGATAATACATTATGAGTGACCGTCATCTATCTATGACGGTCCTAAATCATTTCGCTTAAACTCATATTAAAATAACACGAAGCAGAATGTGTTTTGATTCTGAAAATTTACTGTAATGTCATGCTAGTCTATTTTCTTCCAGAAATGTTTATACGTTTCAACATTTTGGTGGGGGCGGGGGCAATATGCTTCCTGTAAAACTGAGCTGTTACAAATTAGGCTATACCTGGTATGAATCATCGACTGTTTGTTGATTGGGGCACTTGTCCAATGAATCGGTTTCACTTTATTTTGTTTTAAGATATAGGACTTTGGAACGTCGTTTGGATGTGGCTAATTTTTCTTTACTTTTCCAGGAGAGTATGAGAATTTACCCACCAGTACCAATGATTGGAAGAAGAACAACGGAGGATCTTGAAATCGGTAAGATAAAATCAAACTTTTAATTCCGAATTTTGAAATCGAGATTGTTTAGTTCAAATCCATCTAAATGTTCCCCTACAGCCCGTCACATAAATGGGTGTTGATAACTACCGAATTAATATTAATATTAATATTAAAACCATTCATGTATGCAAATAAAATATTAAAATTTTAGAAGCGACACAAAGGCAATATTATTGTCTTTGTGAACGTTGGTTTGTTCAAAACAGCTGTACTAAATCATACTTCCTGAGCAAAAAAGATGAAACTTGGTGTGTTTCTAACAGCTTATTTCTTATTTCTATTCTGCATTAAAGGCAGTAAAAATACGAAATGAGATTTGCGATCGAAATCTACTGAAATTAAGATAAGTAATATAGAGTAACGTTTGGCCTTGTAATTTTGGTAGGTGAGCAGCGTCCGTAACCTTTGCTTTCGTCAACGTTGAAAATGGTTGATGCATTTAGCGATACTTAGATACTGCTTCTTTTTGTCATGAATAATTTTAACACCTTTTCTCTATGCTTTTAAAGAAACAAATCTTTTTCGAATAATCTACTAAAATTCCAAATTGTCTTCAAGTTTATTTACTTTATATATATTGAAGGAAAATCAAATGATTATTTTCATTTAATTATCTTCATATTTTTGAAAATGTATTTCTCTCTTTAAGATGATTACAAAATTCCCGCAAACCACCAAGTGACTTTGTTCATTGGTGGTCTACACAGAGACCCACAATACTTTCCGGACCCACTATTTTACATCCCGGATCGATTCCTGACTGAAAACATAAAAGAAAGACATCCCTATGCTTTCATACCTTTTTCCGCTGGTCGAAGGAATTGCATTGGTAAGTGAAGGTTTCGAAATTGAAGTTTTTATT